TTCAAGACGGCGGACCTCGAGGACCAACTTTGGTGAAGCCTGCCTTAGAGAACTGCAGAGTTTCACAGCAGAGCTGGGAGTACCCGTCCATGTTATCCCCATATGTCCTACACTCCATGGATCTGGGGTTTATTGAAGAGTGGGTAGAAAATAGCACATTTATTATTTTGACAGAAGCAAGAGGGCCTTTTATGGAGGAGGGTGCCCTGGTCAGATGAGATAAAAGCTTAACTTTTCGGCCACCAAAAACTACTCTTCAGTCTGCCTGTAATTTGAAACTAGGACAGAGGTTCACCTTCCAGCCGGACAATGACCCAAAGCAGCATGTTGTGCCAGTTCATAGTTAAAAAACACAAACTTAAAGTTCAGTTCACAGCGATGAAAAATCTAACTTTTATAGTTCACTTTTTCAAAAATGAACTATGTTCAAAAACCTATAAATTAACTAGTTAAAGTTTATTTGGTAAATCAAGCCACATTTCTACACAATAGAACCTCATATTTCACATTAAATGTGTGATCATGATAGAAAGAAATGGAAAATACTCGAAGCAGTCAAGATATACTGTTTGTGCAGTGAAGCCTTTATTTAACCAAATTAGACAGAACTTCAGAAACATACGGGTACATTCAGATTCGGCTGAAAAGATCTGTATGTCAGTCATTCAGTAGCAGATATTTCCTAAGATAGCATATGCATCGTGGGAAAGATGCATTTGCTGTTATGAAGTTAACTCGATGTGTCACTTTAAATTTTAAGTGGATGTGCTTAATGTTCAGACTGTTTAAGTCCTGGTGGGCACAGTTTGCAAAAAAACGTGATTTTTATTTTATTTTTTTCCTGTCAGAGCTTAACATTGGTTCATAAAACTGCCAGGCGCTCTGCAAAACTGGCGTCAGAAATACCGATAGATGAGTCTGAATCGCGAAGACTAGTAATGGCAGCCAACATGCTGGTCTGTCATTATTGTTGCCATAATAAGGGCCTTAAAACCTGACGTTATCCAATAAACAGTGTCGTTATCGATTGAACGTGAATGTGCGCTGTGTGTGTGACGCTCATTATTCTCAGAGTGAGCATCACTCTCGTTCACTACTTTAAAAGCAGTCCATTCAGTCCAGTTCACTAAAAATATGAACATATTAATTGAACGCATGCACAACACCAACAAGCATACCTAGCAGCAAGACCTGAGTTGTATCAGAGAAAAGTTTAAATATGAAGTTGTCTAGTCGAAGTCCAGTCCATCCAATGTGGAGGAACTGGAGCAGTTTCTCTACGAGAGGTGGTTGAAAATCATCCCTGTTGTGAAATGTGGAAAAGCTTATGAAGGGGAGGAGGGGGTGGAGTTATGCGCTCTGTTTCCTTTATTTTTCTGTGTTTTACTTCAACATAAACAAATTTACACACCTTAGAAGTTTAGCCACATCTTTTACATGAAACAGTTCAAACTCTCCAAGCTATGTGGATTCAAGGATGAACAAATTTTTAAAAAAATGCTCAGGAGAGAAGAATTAGTCTGAGACAAATAACCCCAATTTAGTTTTTTTTTTTTTTTTATATAGCACAAGTTTACAACACTGCAGTCAAGTTGATTATGTTAGTTTAGTTGAAAAGTTTTCTGTCTAACCCAGCAGATTGAATCTAGAGACTTGAGTACCCAGGGCCAGTCTCTGCAGCAATACAAAGGATGGATGCATGCAGCAAAAGTGAAAAGGAGAACTATCTGTGGTTTTATGTTATCGACAGAGTTCAATTTAATGGCATCCAGATGAAGTGATTGACTAAGCAGACTTTGACCCAATGACAATTACTTCTGGCTTATCTGAATTTTAAATAGACATTTATTAGTTAAATAAATGAACTATGATCTGTCAGTACATTTAGGATTTAAACAAGCCCATTGTTGTTCCCTGGATCCCTACAGAAATGCAACAGTGTGATCTAACATACAGGCACAGATACAAGACTGTTATCTATGGCCATAAGTATATCGATAGTGCCGTTGTTACTGTGCTAGGATGAGCTCTAAAACCTGTCTCAAACCTTTTCAAACAGGCGACTATGGTGTAAATTCTTACACATTTTATTAGAAACTATTTCCTCAAATCATTAATTAAATCATCTTGATCAAAGGAAGGTTTAAGTAAAGGTTTGAGCTCGCAGTGTATATCCATTCACTTATATACTTATATATAATATTTTAATAAAATCTAACTGTGTTCCCTCTGGTTATAACTTTATTTATAAGGAATCTTCTAAAAATATAACACCTAGAGCAAAGGGAAAGGAAAGCTTAACAGACCTATGATGGTTTAAGTTGGGCCCCTGTACTAAAAAGAAAACTTGGCGAAGGGTCTTTTATAAGGGACAGTCGCAAAGCCCTCATTTAAAATGTAAAACAAAGTGTCTCTAGTTTATAGCACACTTAAAGTTTCTTTTTTCTCTTAATTGTCCGCATGTGTTTTGTTCGTTGTAGCTAAAGACATCTGTAGATTTCTGTTTTTAAAAAGACATTTGGTTTTATTATTCCCTATGTGACATTTTGGCATAGAGCATTCTATCATTTTAATAGTTTTTTTCATGTAACAATTATTAGGATTTTATTCAGTTGAAATTTACAAAGTAGTACCTAATCATTGAAGCATTTTTATTTCTTTAGATTTTCAAGGATAGAAATCGATTTAGATTATTAATCTCTTTAACGAGGGTTTCCAAGCTTAAGTAGAATAGAAAATCCCTTCTGTCCCACAATGGGGAAATTGTGGTGTTACAACAGCAAAAGATAATAGCAAAGAGAAATGTGGACCTTAAAGTGTATTTAAAAAACAGAATAAGAGAAGAGTTAAGAACATAAACAAATAAATGCAAAATGTAATGTTTTTTACAAGTTAAAACCTGAGAGATGTCGAATTAATTTGTATTCTGTCCCGTTTACTTTCCTATCCTGAAATAAATAAGTCCACCTCTGTAATTTAATCTCCTTATAATTCCAGCTGCTTTGTTACCTTACAGGTTTTGTTAAAAAAGAAATGGCATCAAAGAGAACCAGGAGCAGCAGACAAGTCAGACAGAAAGTTGTGGAAAATTAAAATCAATGCTTAGACGTCAGTATCCCATGCATTGAACATGCAAATCCACATTAAAGAGCAGATCATTTAAAAAGATCATTATTCTAATAAACAGGCCAGAGATTCACAGCTGCTGACAAAGGTGCTATAACCTACAGAGAGTAATAAAGGCATTCTGATCATGGGAGGGAAAGGCAGGTTAATGGTTGCAACAAATTGTCTTAAAAAAGCATATTTGCCAACAAAAGAAACTATGCCTCTTTGTATTTTTTGTCAATGAAATACAAGTACATCAGAAATGGATGCTTATGTCAGGCATGTGTTTAAACATAACGTCTTTTACTTAGACTGTATAGTACCTTGAATGGAGTATAAGCAACATTTATATTGCTGCAAAGTTTGTGGTTCTTTATTCAGTAATAAATGTCAATTACTCACATTAAAGTAAATGTCAGTTACTTTCCTTGCGTAGTGCTTTAAAATATTCCATTTTTTTATTAGATATTTTACTTGATATATCAGTTTTCACAGTTCCCTCCTCATTCTTAGGTGTTTTTCTCTTCAGTGCCTTTTGGATGAAAGATAATGAACACGCAGTGTGAAGTCCCCAGACAATTGCCAGCTCTATTTGCACATGGGGTTCGTCTGAATTTCAAGGGCCTTCGTTCATTACAAGTCTATTACCACTGATTCAGACATTTGCATTCTCACTCATGAGTTGTTTAGAAAACTTTAGGGCTGCAGTGCATGTGTGAAAACACTTACTGTATGGTGTCTTGCTTATTTCTTTGCCGCATAGTACAATTGCAACAGTGTAACTAAGGGGATGAAAAACATGTTGTCTCTGACTGTGTTTGATATGTTGATTATTTTTTTCACAGGTTTGAATTCTGTGAACCCGTCTTCGTGGTTGGGAATTGCCTTGAAATCTCCACAGACAGCCACCAATACGATCGCATTTATTGTGGTGCAGGAGTGCAGAAAGACCATGAAAATTACATGAAAGTGTTGCTGAAAATTGGAGGCATACTGGTGATGCCTATAGAGGATCAGGTAAGTGCTGCAAGCTCTCAGGTAGATACAGAACAGGCGCACACACTGATTGCTATTCAAATTTCCAAACATAAGGGAAAACAAGGTAACATAGCTTTGACCTGCAAGGCCCATTATGCAACTTTCTCATGCATTATTGAGCCCCAACTGCCCCTGGATTGAAGCAGCTATAAATAATGTCTTATTTAAAACGGAACTCGTTTTGACATGTTGACGGATTGGGGAGTGTAGAAAAGTATGGAAGTTATTTTGATCATTTGATGGTAAGCAAGAAAAAAAGGAAAACCTCATTTTGAATAAAGATTTTATTATCATAGTGTAGTTTTGCCTGCGTAAATGATCAGCCATCTTGGTCATGGCAACCACAAAAAAAACAAGCTTAAATTGGAGGGAAATGGAGATGACTTTTGGCCTTTTTTTTTTTTTTTTCTGAAGATGTTTCAAAATCCATCCAGGAGTCTCTATCAATTTTGTCAGCTCACACCAGAGCTAACTGTAATTGGAATGCTGAAGTATTTACGCAGCATGGAGGGCAATCCTCCTGAGCACATTGCAAAGCACATGCAAATATGCTTTGGAATAACTTGGAATAATTTAAGAGTAACAGGTAGGTGGTTATTCGGCATATAAAATACTGAAGAAAAAGTCCAGTTGCCTTCCACCTTAATCCTGTTTTGCGGTATTGTAGTTTTGCTTTGCCTAGCTCTCTGAGAGGTATAAAATATTTTTAAAAAAGGAGTAACCCTCCTACGCTAGTTATCATCAGAGGTTTTCAATCTGGTCTTAAAAAAATAAAACTTTATTTTGAAAGTTAAAAAAACAAACCTTAGGATCTCTAAAAGTGTGTTATTATAACTCTGATAACACCATTGCTGCTGGCATACAGTCTATGAATTATTAGGCACATTTATTCTGACTGAACTTCACTATAGACAAATTATCATCACTTGCATCCTCTGATGCTGATAAAGCTATTTGAATATTAGTGGCCTCTTTCAGATAAATTTAGAATTGATAGTTTAGGTGCAGAATCTCCACATATATATAGAAAAAAGTCCACAGGTTGCATGGAAACATGTGATACTTGTGGCAGCAAGAGTCTCAAGTTACAAACATCCAGCTACATTTTGGAGAGCCTTGGAGACCGTAGGACAGTCTTAATGTAGCATAGGGGCCTCTAAACGAATTAATGCTAATTTAGTGGTATTTTTTCTGAAATTAAAGGTCAGTAAGTTTTTGAATTTCCAGATATTTAATATCAAGTAAGGGTGAGCAAGAAATATTAATGATGCTTTAAAGGGAATTTGTTCTCAGTAATGCAGGCAATTTTTCAGAAAATGTGTTCAGATCGATGCACTTAGACAGCTATATAATTTTTAATGATGCAACAAATATCAGTTTAGAAAGCTGTGATTTTCCACCAGCATGGACAAAGTAAAATGAATTTGTCATTCAACACTCTAGTTTGTAACAGAAACCAGGCCTTTGTGTATCTTGTTGTTTTCCCACAGTATTGTGTTAAACACTTTCGCTATAAATGACTTTAACCTGCAGTATCATTAAAAAGGAGGAAATTACATTTTATCATGTTTCTTTAAAAAAAAAAAGATATTTTAAAAATGAATATTTTTGCATAGCATTTCTTAAGAACGGTGCTAAAGGAAATAAACTAATCGGTTCAATTTCAGCTTTGTTTTGTATTCCTAAAGAAGCTGGACTGCATTTTAAAGAACACAACATGTGTATATACCCTCTCTGTATACCAAGCACTGAAACAAGTACACTCAGTATACAGTAAGCTAGAGATCTTTGTAGGATCTAATGATGTGAGGGCACTATAGCTGAAAACTAAGCAGGCTGTGTCCATGGTAATGTGAATCATTTTCAGAACACATTGTACTTTGTTCTAGCCTTTTATCAGCTACAAGCTGACATTTTTCTCCCTTCTTCTTGTCTGGAGCTCTTCTTTTCAAATTGCTCTTCAAAATGGACAAATCTGAAGGCTTCAAAGGACGAGAGGGAAAGCGAGCAGATCTTTGGGAGGGAACAGATGCGGTGTAGGAAAGTCTTTCGAAGCAGTGAGATTGCTGCTGTTATAACCAACGTCTAAGTTTCTTTTTTCTCTATTTGGTCTTTGTCATGATGAGGAATCTCCCCCCCTGTGGATTTCATTATGAGTAGATTTTTTTTAACAGTTAAATACATGCTGGGAAATATAAAATACTTCAGAATCACCATGAAGAATCTATCATTTTATGATGTTCTGATTCCATAATAGTAAAAGATATCGACAGCATGATTGGCTCATGCTGAAGCAGAACATTTATTATATAATGAAGAGCTTGTTTCCTGGGTTTACACTGTGCTTAATAAAACCTTCATATCTTAAAGTCTAATTTAGCAATGACCAGACGGACTTTGACACCTGGCCTCAAGGTGTCAACTCTAATAGCTAATAAAGAAGGTGTTGTTCCATTAGTGGCAAAGCCTGAACATTGATCTAAGGAGGCAGAGCTTGAAAGAAAAAAGATGTGTGTGTGTGTGTGTATAAAGGAAGGGTTATAGTTAAAACTGTAAAAGAAACGTCTATAGGGCAGGAAGTTTGACTTAACTTGTAACTAACTGGTTTAGGCCAATAGCTCAATATTGGTCAGTAGTTTCGGATAACCCTTCTTTCTATGAAGACGGTGATATTATGACCTGAGCTGGCCCATACCTGTATCATCTTGAGATTTATGTCTCACATTTAAATCTAACATACAATTCTGTCAGTGACGTGATTGGTCAGACAAAAAGCTAGAATTGCTGCTTTATGCTTTGTTTCCATGTTTTGATACTTGTAGAAAAAAAAGTCACTACTTTGGAGTGACCTCATCGAAAAGCCCATCTAACCTCTACAGAATCACCATTAACGCAGTTTCTTTCCTGTCCAACAATTTATACTAAAAGGAATACAAGTGGAATACATTCAACCATCTTTAAATATATTGGAAGGATAAGAGAATGTGCAGATGTATGGTGATGGTCATAGGGGGTTTCAACGTCTCCGATGGGTTTTGTAAAGATGTATTGCTGCTGTGGGTCTGAAATCAGCCTTAAAGGATCACTTTTGATCAGGTGGTAAGACCAAACACAGCAATAATATAATGCAGACTGGCACACTGAAACAACTCGTATAAAACAGTGGAATTTGTACAGTGCAAGAGTGTATTGTGATACTTCTGCCTCGTTTGTGATTTAGACATTATTTAGTTTTCTTTTGAACAACAATCCCATTTTTTTATTTTCTGTTTTTACAGCTGACCCAGATAACCAGAACAGGTCAGAGCACATGGGAGAGCAGAAACATCTTGGCAGTGTCCTTTGCCCCTTTGGTGCAGCAGAGCCGTGCGGAAGGAGAGAAGCCTGACGCTGTCCAGCTGCGTGAGTTTCATTGCCTTGACAACAAAAGAAAAACTTGCCTTGAAGTAGAAAACTGACTCCACATTTTTTTAAGGCACAGTACACTAAAAATGATTGGAAGTGATTGTAGTAAGATACAATACTTGCCTTGTCCTACATGATCTGTGTGAAACTGCTGCATAAAGCCAACTCGATTCTTTTAAAATGCCACAGCTCAGTTTCCTGCAGCAATCTTACTCCCTTATGCCAACCCAGTTGAGCAAATGTGCTAGCAGTAGTATAAATATTCTTTTTGTGGCACATTTTCCTGAAGCATCGTGCCTCTCTGTCTCCAGCCCCGGTGACCGTCCGCAGTCTTCAGGACCTCTCTCGCGTCTACATTCGCCGCACTCTCAGAAACCTGTCGAATCAGGACAATCAGGGGAAAGGAACGGTGCAGCGGGTTCCACACAAGCGCAAACGGAGGCGCTGCCGACGGCGGCGCATCAACACCTACGTTTTTGTGGGCAATCAGCTCATACCCCAAATGGTGGATAGCGAAGTGGAGGAACACGCTGAGGAGGAACAGAAGGAGGTGGCGGCAGAGGAGGAGGAGGAGGAGGAAAGAGACATTGGCGAAATTGAAATCATCAAGCAAGTGAATGAGTTGAGAGAACAAATACTGGCTCTGCCTCTGCCTGAATCACTGAAGGCATATTTGCTGTACTACCGAGAGAAATGACTGATTCACTCGATGTCCACCCTTAACGAGTGCTCTGCCTGCTGAAATTCGGTTTCGTTTTTGTTTGTTTTTTTTCCACCCCTTTTCAGTTGAAATGTAGCATTATTATCACTTAATCTCAATGGTAACACTGTATTGGAACGAGATGTGATGGATAATATCTGATAATAATGTTTTTGATTTTCATGAGTGTTTCTTTTTCTTGATGTTTTTACTTTAATCTGTATATGAAAATATGTATAAAGAATCGTTAATGGACATTTAGTTTCAGGAAACTGTTTTGAGATACAGATTTTATCAAATACGAATGTCTGCAGATGCGTGCAGATAAACACTGCATAAATAATAATCATTAAAACAACAGTCCTTTAAGTCTTGTTTAAATATGATAAAACACAAATGAAGACTTTATTGCACCTTTTTTAGAAGCTTTAACCTGCTGTCACTATACAGGGATTTAATTATGTTAAATTAAAAAACGGTGAATCGTAAATGAGGCCACATCTTATCTAACAGCTAAAGATTAAGAACTTAATCCATATTCATAAAAAACAAAAGTGTCGATGTATTTTATACTTTTCTTCTAAAAAAAAAAAAAAAAAAAAAGATCACTGGAAAGATGAAATTGGTTCACCTATATTTTCTACAGGGCACATTTTAATGTGAAGTTTTTTAAAGCATGCTAACGTTCTTGCAGCTGCTGCTGCGAGAAGCTGCCATCGATTTGATGCAATGCAAGCTCTCTACTCTGTTTTCTTTTCTCACAGATGCATGTGAATAATATGTCAGGGGTTTAACACGGGGAGCTACAGATGTTTATGGGTGGTTTAGTTTCAGGGAGAGGTGAGAACATTTCTTAATCTTGATTACATCATGTGTGTCATGGGTGTTTTCAGGCTCCTTTTTACATCATCTGATTGGTTGCTGGAGGTGATGTTCTAAGTGATCAAGTTCAGAAATGTTTCCTAAAAAAAAAAAAAAAAAAGTAATTTAAAGGATGTGTATCATAATTTTTTTTATGTTTTTTCTTCAGCTGCGTTGATTATTCTTGGTTTCATGACCGAAATTTAAAAATATATATATACAAAAAAAAAAAGAGGCAGCACAGAATTCCGCCATGTGTTTGTAACGCTAAGGGCAAATAAAAAAAGAAAAGTGTAATTTAAAAACTTAACACGTCTGCCAACATTTAATTAATGGTTATTTCTGATCCACCTTTGACCAAAGATTTTAAAATTACTTATTCTAACTTCTTCCCAGACTCGCCTACTTTATATTGATGAGCAGTAAATGTGCACATCTCAGCTAACTAGTCCATGTTTTACTTGAGATGGCTTAACACACTACAGTAATGTAGCTGTTGGATAAAGATTTATACAGAGGATATCTGTCCTTTCATGCAAACTCTGGAAATCCATCTGCTTTTAGTTTCCCAGTGACATGCTGTTTACCTTAAAGTGTCATGCCGAGCTAATGTGAACGGTGCTGGATGGGAAGGACCATAAAATAGTGATATGCAATCACATTTCAGCTGCAGTCAAACTGTCCCTGTCCCTCCTTCATTTTGCTCAGAAACGATAACAATTGGAGCTTATGACTAAATATGCTGAAGGTTTGGGGAAAGCATTTTCTCGATCTAGCTTGTTAAAGTTTTATACTCACAAATGACAGCTGCGATCTTCTCAGTGGCTGGGTTCAAGTTTAGTTGTTCACGTTTGTGGCAAAAGTCCATCTTTTTGCTGGGTTACCAATACGAGGTTTTCTTTCCAATAAAAATGTTTTTTTTTTCTAAAAAGAAAACAGTCTTGTTCCGCTGCACAAGTCTGTCAGATAATGTACATTCAGATAATGTTTCATCATCCACATACAGTACTAACTTCCGGTCTTATAGACATGGCAACAAAAATATAAGTTTGAAAAATAGTGGAAAGGCAGATTATGATTGAGTTTTTCTGTCAAATTTTTTCTTTTGGCTATAGAATATATTTGCCCTTTAAAAATGAATATTTAGTTTCATGGCCTTGGCAGAAGTTGAATTTTGTACAGCACCCGTGTTTTTTTTAATGTTCTTATTCAAAAATACACGCAAAACCACAATTTCCAAGATTTTGATGCCTTTTGTATTCTGGACTATAGTTGTGTCCAACAAAGCACCTTAATCAGCACTTCTCAAGTAAAGAAAATATATAAAAAGGTACCACTCTTGGCTTTAATTGTGGACTGAAATCATTGTAATGTAAATTTGCCTTTAATTACAAGGCGCTGGCAGAACCTCCCTAATAGTGGTGGCTTTTAAGTGCCAACATACCCAACTCCCTACCCCTCTTACCAATTATGCTAGGATTTCTGTGAGCTTCCTTGCAGTCAATGATCCAAACAAAGGTGATTTTGTACAAAAAAGAAAAACATTCCACTCTGAAAAAAAAAAAACAGCACATCACTGATATCTGCAGGTTTTCTTTGTGCTTCACTGTCACCCACTCTTTCTTTGAAAGAGTCTTTTAGTATTAAAAAAACTGCATTGAATGTTGTTCATAGGAATTATATTAAAAGTGATATAAAAAGTATATAGTGTTCTCATATGATTCTTCGTCCAGTTTAATTTGCAGTTGACTTGTTGTAGCATCCCTTTCTGCTGTACTGTATCTTCACACAGGGAACTCCACTGCTGTCTGTTACATAGGAAATTATAGCTCTTCATTTTGTTCTGATGTACTGAAAAATATTTAGTTTTAAAAATGGGTTTGATTAATCCTATAGATTTTCTTGCGTGTGGAGAGGTAATTTTTAATTTCAGCAAGCTTTTTTTTTTTATATATTTGTTTAGTTTTAAATGTCCTTAACAAAAGGTTTTCTAGGTTAACTGTATAGATGCTTATCTTTTAATTACCAATAATATCCAAACACTCCCACTTTATTTGCATCCATTAAAATTCACATGATGTATCAGAGCCTGTTTATATACCATAACCTGAAATGTAATTGCTTATTAGTGAGCGACACTGAATGCGCTGGACCTACAGCTAACTCTCTAAGGTCGGCCCTTGAACCAAAGTTAATAGGATGGCTGTGATTACTTTTAATGTGGACGAGATCTGACTATTAAAACTTTTCCCAGTGAAACAAATCAACTCATAATTTGTTACTTTCTTTATTTGAGGTTCTTTTTCTTTTTTTATTATTATTATTTAGCTAAATTTGTCCAGTTGCTCTTTGTTGGGGCCTAATAGGAATATTTTTTCTCAAAGTGTGTGCAGTTCATTTTTAAAATGTGTTTCATTGTAAATGTGTGGCACAAAAATAAAGGTCACAATCACAAGTGTTTGTCTTCCAGTTATTACACTGGCTTTCTTTTTATTTGTATGTTTGAGCTGATTTTTTTTTTTAAGGACCTGGTTAAAAAGGGAGGGGATTCAAATCAAAAGATCCGGTAAAATATTGCTGTGAATCCTTATAACTCACTATAAAGTCAAACTACATGAATACCACTTCCCCATTGCTTGAATATAATGCCTTGTGGGGATACTTTAGTAAAAAGCTTGCAAATAAGAGGACCACTCATCCAAAGCATCACACTCGACACTGATCCTTTAAAGTGTTGAGAAATACACCTGTCAAAAAAATTGAAGCCGAGCAGACAAACTGTTGTCAACAAAGGAGCTTTTTATGTGTTCAAATGTAAAAACTGCTGTGTTAGATTGGGGATTTTGCTGAATATTAAGTGTATTGTGGTGTTTCGCCCGAGTGACTGCCAAAAAGCAGATAAAGGAAAAGCAAGCAGTGATTTTTCTGGTTGTCAGCAGTAAAAAAAAAAAAAAATAAAAAAAAAAAAAACACCTTTCATTAGATGCTCTTAAACTTTTATGTGTCTAGGTCAGGCATGGAGTAACCCTGACAACGTTCTCGAGAATATTTTTCCCAGAAAAAGATCCATCAGTCGGTGGAAGTGTTTTTTTTTTTTTTAAGATGCCATAATGGAGTCGTGCATGTTATTTGAGGGTTAAAAGTTTTTTTTTTTTTTTACAGAGCTTGCAAAAGTATTTTACCCTTTAACTTGTTTTATTTGATAGACTAACACAAAGTAACATAAAGCAATGGTAGTTACATTTGATTTTATAGCACAATTTAGAGAATTATATTGTAGATTCGTAACCTCTCTCTTGTTACAAACTTAATTTAATTTATGTCTGGATTTAGACTAGGCCATTCTAACCCAGGAAAAATGTTCTTTATAAACCATTCCATTGTAGCTCTAGCCGTATGTTAAGGGTTGTTGTCTTGCCTTAAAGTGGATTTCCACCAGAGGTTTTTAAGTCCTTTGTACCCTGGAAGAGGTCTTCCTTCCAATTATGGCCAGCATGCCTGTCCACACTTTAAGACAAGCTGTATATATATTGTCTCTAAATCACAGTCTCTTAATCTATTAACTATTTAAGGACTATGTCAAGGTAATGGTCTTGAAGAAGGGTCTTTTCAAAATCACAGTTAAGCACTTTGATAGCAATAAATCAAAGTGCTTAATTGATTATTGGACAAAATATGAATGTTTCAGGTGGTATGAATAATTTAGCAAGGCACTGTATGTGGGAAAGTAAAGTCAACCATGACTGAACCATGATACAAAAGTTCTCATTTATTGATTTATTTCACTGCATATCTGTTATTAAAACATTTGCAAAAAAATAAACCGCATCCTCTACTATCCTGTGTTACATGGTTTGTTTCTCACCAAGGTTGTTTTTAAAGCACACAAGCATCACATAGACTTTCTTTGCATAGACTGCACCGCCTTCGCTTTCTATCAGAATACCTAACAATGCTGCACAAAAACACTTTGACCCCTTTTAATTTGCTATCCTCCAGAGCTTTTCTTACCCAGGGGTCTCCTTCTCTGTTTGAAATCCACTCTGTAAATAGGAGGTAAGAGCATGAATAATTTCTCTAATTGACCTGAACTCTTTGTAACTGATAGTTTATCTGCCACTCTGCAGCATTTACAAACGGTTTAAAGCAGAGACCAGTTAAAGGGGTAACTGCAACCACCATAGGCCACAATGTTTAGATATTTCTGTTTTCCTCCTGATCATCTCATTAATATCATATTTACATCGTAATCTCAAGCGACAATAGAATACAGTATACCATGGCTGATTTTATACCTATAATGGGCTTAGAGAGTAAATGATGGAGAAAGCATCAGGGTATTAGCTTTTTACCTCTAGCACACATCAAATCTTGAATGCCTTAATCCCAACTAGTAGTACTAAAAGGTATAAATGATAGTTTTTTGTTTCTTCAAAGCTCAGTGTTTATTTACATAATTATGTTTGGGAAGAGGTATATTAACATTTGTCATTGCTGATTGTTTCTCTGTTCACTATGAACTTGATGGCCAAAGTCTCCCTTTTTCATACGCCCAATAATATAAAGAGTATTAGACTTTTACTCAAAAAAACAAACAAAAAACCTTCAATTCTATTAAACTTTTGCTAATTGCTTTTGTGCTATGAAATCATATTCATGTTGCCATTTGATTTTAAGGTTGACTCTAGACAAAGGTGGATAAACTGAATTTTTCATTCAGTCATGGAATAAGGTTCCCCCCACCCCCACCCAGAAAACAAAAAGAAAAGATAAATAAAACACTTAAAATGAGTGTATAGTCTTATTATGATCTCTGAACAACTTTAAATTATCTAGGATGTTTTTAAAGGTTAATTTCAATTTGAAATAAAGACTCAAAAATGAAAAAGTTAAAGATTTATTTCAAGTTTATCATCCCTGTTATACTTATTTTTTAATAAAATAGAAATGAGAACCAACTATCATCTCTAAATGTGTATCTCCCAAATAGGCCTACTATCAGGTAATTAATGGTAAAAACAAAAGGTTTTGCATGTTTAGATATTTTTGTATTGGGACTAAAATGGTTCTGCTTAAAATCTAATATAATAGTATAAATTTCAATATATTTACTTGGTTTTATATATATATATATATATATATATACTTACTCTGTCATTAAAACATAAATAATGTATCATTTATTATAAAACAGAAGTCAATCAAGAACATGTGAGTGGTAAAGTATGAAAATATCCTTTTGGGGAACATCCATCCCTGATCAGGGAACCACTGATGTATCACGACAGTGACACTAAATGATAGAAGTGGGTGTACTAAAATACCAATGCATCTTTGCAACACAGCCATATCAGAAAAACTGAATCTGAAAAAAATAACATTGTTGGTTTTCTTGGATAAAATGTTATCTTACAAAACTTGAAAAAAATTTAAAACCACTTGGGTTATGTTCATGATAAAAATCCCATCTGAATAATTGAACTTGGATCCTAAATTAGCCTAGTTGTCTCAAGAAAGCAAAGATAACATTATATCCACAAAAAAAAGTATCCTAATAAGTGGAACCTGCTAATGTTTTTATCTGAAAAACAAAATTGTAATTTTTGAATAAGACAGCAAAATCAATATCGGCCAGTACATCTATTCTATTAAAAAGAAACTAATTATTTTGCAAAAGATAAAGTGATTGAATTGCCTTATTTTCTGTAAACAAAAAAAAAACACCCCTCAATTTATGACATTCTGACCGACATCCAAATTAATATTATGACAGGTGGAGCCAGTATGATAAGAAAGAAAAGTTAGTTTTCTCAACATAAGGAGAAAAATGTAGCTTGGTAATTGTCAATATAAATAATTAGCTTTCAGTCTAAAGAAAATCACATCCAAATAAGGATTAGCAGATAAAGCTATTATCTCAAGAAAACAAATAATGTCATAACCTCCAGATAAAAGAACAGTCAGCTTGCGTTCCCAAGAAAATCCCATCCAGATTAACAATCAAAATTAAGGTCTTCCTTAGCTTTCATGCAAATGCTTCAATTTGTTAATCAAGTGAAAAGAATTCATATGCACACATATGATTTTATAAGTACAAACCCTTTAATCCATGAGTGTGCAGATCTTAACGCAAGCAACCTCTCGCCCAGGATATTCAGTGATGTTTTGTCAAAAAAGAAAAAGAAAAAAAAGGGGCGGTAAACTAATGTGGGGAATTACTAAGGATTTTTGTTTGATTACATGATCATGTGGTTTCTGAGGCTTTACAGAAAGACAAAATCTCACATCATGTTCATGAAGTCTTTCTGAGAAGTTATTCAAAGCAGAGATTCAATGTCAGGTCCAACATAATTCCTGAATCCTTAGAGATTTTAAGTGTAACACCCACAAGGAGGTCTTTTTTCCATCTCAAGTATCTGAAACATTGTTATAGCATTGATCCACGTTCACATTCCCACTGACGTAGGTGATTCTAGTCTTTACTTTTAAAGTGGTCCAGAGGCAGTAGCACCTGTCAAGTGGTGTATTTTAGTTTTGGAGTCTGTGAGTTGCATGAGAGGCTGGAC